CACTTGTGCACTCAGATTAATTATGTTCATACATTTCAGTGAAGAAGCTTGCGTTTTCAGTAGATTGATTCATTCTGATAAAAATGATAATCTTTTAGTTCTGGTATCTGTAGAAAAGGATTCCAAAAAAATCAAGAGTTTGAAACAGAAAAAACAGCTGCATTTTAGTTCTACTAAAGAAAATTATAAATTACAAATTATTTCTAAAGATTCTGAAATTCACAAAATAAGAACTAATATGTGGCATGGCATAACGATTCCGCAGATGATGAAGTTGATATTAATTTCTGGTAGAGTTTATTTCAGTTAAGTACTCTGTTCACCTTTAATCCTTGGTGATTTCTCCAGATGCACAGAAGTGAAGAATGTAAAAATATATCTTGCTGCTTCAGCAAAACAAAATACAGCTGGCAGGGAAGTGAATCTGCAAGTCATTGGTTACAGCTGTGTTTCGATTTATGTGATGGTTGAAAAAATAAATTACCAGATTAAATGGCTAAAAGAAGAGTCTTTGTGTAGCCCTTTTGTGTGGAATGGAAGTGTTTATGGTTTATTATAGCCTTGCAATGTAAGCTAGTCAACGGTCTTATTCCAAAAATTTCCAAAATATTATGAATTCAATTTCATTTCTTCAGTGGTAACTGTAGATGTTTGAATACTCCTATCACCTTGCGATATTTAAGAGTGTCAGTCTTATTGTGCTGTGTAGCTTATCAATGGGAGGCTGCTCGGTTTAATGCTTAAGTGTGGGAAAACGTACAATTTCATATATCTAAAACTAATACAGATCTTTCATGAAAGTGGCAACCTTTCAGTAGCCTTAATTCTGCAGAGTTGTGTTGCATGAACTTCATATGCATATGCTTTCCAGCTTGTAGAAACTGAAGTTGCAGTTATAGGATCAGGGCTTTTTTTTTTCTCATAGAACGCCCAGAACAGAGTTCCGGCACCATTTTTGGATGGAACCTTGTAGGGTAGACAAGGCAGGTTGTATGATGTGTGCGAGTTCCAGCACCTTTTTTTTTTCTAGAAAAAAAGCACTGTATAGGATCAAGGACAAGACTATATTCAGCAATAGAAATGAATGTCTGTAATTACAGTAATGAGACATAGTCTTATCCAGGGGTCTTCAAACTTGGCCCTTTTATGACTTGTGGACTTCAACTCCCAGAATTCCTCAGCCAGTCCACAAGTCATAAAAGGGCCAAGTTTGAAGACCCTTGGTCTTATCAATTAAGAACAAGTTACCTCCATAAAATCACAGGTATTGCTTTTATTCATTTTAAAGGAACATTTCTCCAACTTCTCCAATTTTAAAAAGTGATATGCTCTGGTGTAAGATGCTACAAATATTAGCATATATCAAATACTTAACATTCAAAATAAAAACTGAAAATGAATGTTGCTACTATGTGTTGTAACTGTTATTCTATCTAATTAAATATATATTTACTCAGAGTTTTTACAATGGCTGTCCTTTAATTCATTTCCCACAAAATGTTCATAATACAAACATAAATACCAGGTCAAAAGTCAATGCAAAAATTAAATCTAGGGTGCTGACAAAGTTTCATTGTAATCTACCTTCAGATAGTCCAGAGAAATGTTTATAATATTGTTAGTGGAATATTTTCCCTTTTATTTTTCTCAGTAGCACTACTGCATTAAAAACAGTTTGACAGAAAACCACTAAGATGTAGAATAAATAACCATTATATATAGAAAGCAGACAAAAGTGTGATTGATCTGTCTGGAATTGGCAGACTCTTTCGCTGTGTCAGGCTGTTTCTTTGATCAATGAAGGTATAGCCTCTGACCCTAAAAATCAATGGAACTGATGGAAACACAAACCATGAGAATGCAGAATAGGCTTTAACCTTTATTGAATGTAAAGGTTTGAAATATTAATTGTATGCATGTACTTAACACATAACCGTTTTATCTAAGATTGTTTAAATATCACAATGGTCTTTAAAAAGTTATAAATAATAACATTTGCTGCTTTTGAATTTAGCCTGTGCAGGATATTTTTTTTTTCAATAATCCAAAACCCTTTCCCTTGGAAGAAGACAATGAGATGCTTACTTACCTAGAGCTATATTCATATCATTTTTAATGTATATCAGCCTTATAAATATTACAAATAAATTACACTTGATACTGAGGTTAGAGACAAGTTTGTTCTAGTACAGAAATAATAAGGTTAGAATGCAGAGATTTATTATACTATTTTTTTAAAAAATTAAATACATAGATCTAGAATAGGATGAAAAGAAATAATTTAATTTCAATATAAATAAAATTAAAATCTTTTCAAAAAGTTTATTAATAATTTTGTGTTTTTTAAAATTGTATAAAGCATGCTAACTATTTAACAGTGTTTACAAATCACATACTCATTTTAAGAAGAAATGTATAAAATTATTGAAGCTTAATCATTTTACTAGAATAGAATGATTTAAGCTCAAATATTGGCTTTTTCCTGAAAAATGGAAATGTTTTTGTACATTAGAAAACTTAAATTTGTATTTCCAATTACAAGCAAAAATATATGAAATATATTTACACTGAAATTATAATTATACTGAAATAGTAATAAATAGGATTTTTTAATGATATGAATGGTAATTAGTGTTTATTGGGTAACATTTTGTACAAAGTTTAATGTCTGCAATTTCACAATTAAATTTGAAATATAGTATAATTCAAAATTTGTACTACTCTGCAGAAAAAGTAAAAAAAAATGACAAGTCTAAAACTGGAGAAATAAAAATAAAAATTTCCTGAATCATATGTAGGCGTATGTATCAAATTACGTCTTTATTTGTTAAAATATATAGATTTTAAGAAGATTAAGGGAATACACTATGAGATTGAGGCTAGGACTTATTTTTTATTTACTTACTTGGAAGTAAAAGTTAGTGTACCCAGTGGAGTTTAAAACTGCTTAGGAGGCATGTATATGATGAAACTACCATTCCATTCAAAATATCTCAGTTGTAATAAAACTAAATCTATTACTTTTCTGCATATGAAGTTTTATTTATTTATATTTTATGGTGTGTATGTTTTTCTAAGCATATTAATCAAAATCAAGTATTAACATATTGTGGCACTTAATTTCTCTGTAGAAAATATTCTTTTATTCCAAAATAACTCAGGTTTTATTTTTAAAAGATCTTGCTATCATATCTACTTCTTCAAAAATCACAAACTGTAATGTAGCAATGCAAAATATCTTTGCTTTAAAGCATAACGCATTGTATGTATCATTTGAAAAACTTGTGAACCATTTCCTGGACCCCATCTCTAAAAATTAACTAGAATATGTGCTTTGTTAGTTGCAGCAATGGCTGCTTCTACTTTTACTTCTTCATGTGGAAACAGGAAGTTTCTGCTATGGCCGCAAGTAGTGTCCCCTTGTGGATGATTGTAATGTTTTTAAGCCTTAGTTATGTCATGTTTTTCGATAACTATAACGGTACACTCATTCTTTATATATCGGCAATTCACATTTATCTTGCTAAAATATTGCTTTTCTTACCTTCCCCCCTATTTTTTAAAATTCTTCAAAACAAAAAAGGTTCTTTGTGTTTTCTGGTTGTTAACCTTTGTTTCAGTTGTTGTAAAATAAGGTGGCATTTTTGTATTATCTTGAATGAAGAAATTAATGAGTTGCAAGTACATATTTTCAAACCTGTCGGAGCTAATTTCTACATTTGTATGCACTTATATAATAACAGTTTAATATATAATATACATATAATGCTATAATATGCTATTTTCCAAACTATGACATGATTGAAAATTTATTTATTTATACTTTAACCCTAATCCTAATCCTAACCCTAAATTTAAGTTATGCCAAAAATAAGTATGATCACAATATGAGATTTATATCTAATTTTAAGCACACATACAATATACAGTTCAATAATATATATGAGCTTTCAGAAATACTGTGTCTTGTCCAATAAAAATATATTTAGTATTCTGCCATTTCATTGCTTTCAGTAGCAATAATAATCCTACTGTCATACATATTTCTATATAGACATAATTTAAAGTAGATGAAATAAAACCCAAACGATCATTCATTTCTTGCTTTTCTGTGAAATGGGATTAAAATTAATGGAAAACTAAACCATATGATGGGATAAGTTGCAGAAAAATCATATTAATCAGTACAAAGCTTTTGAAGTTTCTATAATAGACATCACTTCATTATTTTGTGACACATCATTAAAAACATCTGTAGAAACAATAATCTTGATAATGCAATATTTCCCTGCCAAATTTCATATAACATGGTTGAAGGTTTTTTGTTAAGTTATGGTCATATGGAATTATAATTCTCCTTTAGTCCAATGGAGCAAATTGTCGGAATTGAGGTCTAAGTATTATCAGTGTTCCATTTCACAAAATAAATTGATTTTTAGTTATTATCCGCTATCAAATGCAACATACAATCACACAGCTTCTCAGAACAAGAGATAAAGACATGGAGTGCATGAAAAAGATTGCTTGCAGTATCTTGTTGAAACCTTTCCAACCAAGTCCTCTTGGCAAAATAATGTGATTGGAACAACTCATGGTGTTGTGATCAGAAAAACTATTCTGATTTGAAGCAGACTTACTATCACTGAATGACTCATTGTATTTCTATCTCTCTCTAGGTTTTTACACAAAAAATAGGTTTAATATCCACCTTTCCTACTTTATTTTCCATTGTTACAATGTGAGTTAAACCACACCTAGATATTCCCCACCCACCCAAATATGTTTCTGACACAATTATTTCTGTGAAATATATGTATGTGTTTGTGTGTGTGCATAATTCAGCACATACTTTCCAGAAAAAAACAAGGCTAGGAAAAACAATTGAATTAATGTTAATTGAATAAATAGCTCCTTCTTTAAATTGTAAAATGAATTGATTCCTCATTTGTATAATAAATGTACAATATACATTTTCTGAAATACTAATATTCTTTTCCCAGGAAAACAACAAAGAAACATGGAAGATTGAAATAAATAACAGAATTAAATAGTTAAACAGGGAAGGAAAGAGAAGATGAAGGGGGAACAAGATGCAGCAGATAAGAGAATGGACAGAAAAGAGAAAAAAGGCTATGAAAGCTAAATTTATAGTTAAACAAAGAACAATGAGCACAAACCTACACCTGCTTACTTTGTAATAAATCCCACAGAATTTGCTGGTTCTTACTCAACATTTTTTTACCTTGTTCAGACATTAAGAATCCTTTAATAATCTATTTCCATTCAAGAAGGAACAGAATGGGAGTAATGTATCCCTTCCTTATCCTCTACTGAACGAAGTTGAAAGTCTACAAAGAGACAGAAATGAAGAGAAGCTGTCACCAAATCTGCCTCACTGAGAAATATAATCAAGGAATATGTGGAGTCTGCAGAAGAAAAATCTCTTATATTTGTGGAGTTTATGCCTAAGTAAGGCTTTATTCAAAAAAATATAAGAAATCCCAAACATCACTTTAAAAAAAATCTTTCAGGAATATGCAGCAAATATTCCAACTGGATACGCAAATGTGTATTTATATGTATGTATGTATGTATGTATGTATGTATGTATGTATGTATACATACATACATACACACATACACACATACATACAGTATATTCTTCTTTCTTTGGCACTAGTTCACTGCTAGGAAAATGTGCTGACACTGCTTGGTTCTAGCAAATTTAGGATTAGAAATCGTAAACTACATATTGTGTTGCTTAATAATATTGCATATTTTTAAAAGAAGTTGAGAAGTGTTTCTTGTCAAGTGAGATTATTCTTTGAGAAATGAAAATATTTTCCACAAAATTGAATTCAAATTAGAAAAGTTAACATGCCAAATATCCTATTCTACACACTTTCATTGTGTAAGGAAATATGTGGTTTGTTTATTTATTTCTGTAATTGATATGTTATATAAAAATTGAATTGCTTTCACTTATTATTCTGTGTATGTTGCTATGTGTACCTCCTCTAACAAAAAACAAGTGACAGAGGATGAAATATTTCATATGCTGTTAGAACAAAGCCATAGCTGATTCCAAGGCTATTTCCAAGACAATAATATTTGTATTCTTCTAAAAAAAAAGTTACATTTCATGTTAAACATTATTTGAGCTACCCTACGTATTCCAGCCATAACAATACACCCACACCCATTTGCATACTCTGTCCCATATATATATATATCCATCCATCAGTTTGTCTATCTCCCTACCAACCTATGGAATACACATTTAAAGAATGTACAATTATGCATAATAAGAAAGCATATAATTCATTTTCCATTGTTTAAAGAGAACAATATTGAAAAGCAAGGATACTCGTGTCCACTATTTAATCACTTCCTAAAGTAATATGACTGAACATTCAAGAATTTAGGAAAGCTTAAAGTTGGAAAAAAGGACTAAGGAAGAACATTAAATCTGGTTGTATGACAGTGTCCCTTGAGCTGATTATGACACCTAAATTACTGATTGTATCTACTCAGAATTTTCCATTGCTCCAAAATGTAGCTTTGGTATGTGGAAGTACTACATAAAATTTATTAAAAAATGTTCAGCCAAACATAGTTATATTTCATATTTTTCTAAATTATGTTCTTGTTAAGTGTTCCTATTCAATAGGATTATAAATAATCAAAATTTAAGAATAGAAGATAATATAGATTGAAATAAGTAATTCAGAAAGAAAAAGGGAGGGACAATATTTAGTCCGTATGTACATCTATTGTTTCTGAATTGCAAAGCTGCCATAGACTGTTTTGGAAGAAAAAGTTTTTAAAAAATCTAAGGTGTCTGATGGATTATTTGCAGAAGACACATGCTCAGTAGGCAATTTCCCAGACTGCTACATAACTGCATTATTCAAGGTAACGTGGATACAGAGAAAAAAAAGCAACTAAGATAAAAATGGTAACATAAAAATAAGTGAGTCAAAGCAAAAGAGATTTAAAACTCAACTCCATATATGCTTATTTGACAAATGCACATATATTCAGTACCCTTATTCCCTAGTTTTCAGCTCATTTGCTTTTCAGTTCTTGCATAGGATTTCAAGGCAAAAAGTAGAACTGTAATATATAGATAGAAGTTGGCAGCAATAAGCAATTTAAGTCATGCTGTAGAATGAATCCATTTTGAATGGATTTTCAAGTAAACAAGTATATAAGATTGAAGGCTACAATGCTCCTTAATTTCTAATAATTAGAATCAAGTCTTATTTCAGTTTAACCTTCCTGTGTTGATTTATTTGATTTCATTTTTTTTATTTTCCTTTTGCAATAAGTTCCTTCTTGCTTTACAAATTTTCTTTTTTTAAAACAAATACTTGTTCCAATACAGGAATGTGCATTTAATTCTTTTTTCCTTTGTAGATGCATTATCATTCTGTTATAACTGTTTGCAATATTTTCATTTTCACTTTGTGGCAAGAGTTACACTTCATGTTGCTTCCCACCTACTCTCTTTGCCATTTATTTTCCTTTATTGGTGCAGCATAGTTGCAGTGAATGATCAGATCTGTTTGTGTACCAAAAGGTTAGAGTGAACTGATAGTTCAGTCATGATAACAGTGTTGCACTCTATTCCATAGATTACAAAGCCTCAAATCCCTGTGCAAGGTGCTCCTTCTGCCTTGAAATCAATGTGTCACACGGTAATTAAGCAGGCTTATTATTCCATTCAGCATACATCAGTTTATTCTTTAAAGAGAAACAAACATCTATTTTTATAACTGTTTTAGCACATTAGCAAAGTTTTTGCTGAGTTTAACTGAGATGATGTATATTTTATTTATGCCAAATGACTCAGTATTTTCATAAATGGAATCATACTTAAGATATCTATACAATTCGAAAACACTACACACTGATATACTGTAATGGTACAATATATTATTTTCTCCTAGCTGCTCTGTCTCAAACACGCTCAACCTCTCACATAAGCACCGCACCCACAGGAACAGAGAGCAACAGTCTCCTTCTTCAGGCTCAAATGAACACACACTTCGTTTTAATAAGACTAGAACTGCTGTTAAATATTCCAAACTTATCAAAAGAAAAAAAAAATACAGTCCCAAGATCCCCCTTAGTACTTTTAAAAAGTCCCGATTCTATTTCTTATTAACTTGGTTTAAAATACCAGAATAAAAATGTTGCAAGCTAAACGCTTGGGAGAAGCCGTGTGTAACTGAGGGATTCTTTCCATTGACGGATGCTGCCGCAAAGGGAAGAGAGGAAAAGCTGAAGAAGGCGCAGGATAACTTCTAAGTCTGTTTAAGCCTTGCTGGCATTATTTCTCTCCACATCGCGCGCGCGCGCGCGCGCGTGCGTGTGTGTGTGTGTGCGAGAGAGAGAGAGAGAGAGAGAAGTTTGCCCGCTCTTCCCGAGGCAGAAAATCGAGGAGGACCATCTATGCAGAGCCTATTTTCAAACTGCATTTGGAAAGCTGTCTTATTATTGATTAGGGGGAGAAAAAGGGGTGGGAATAGAACTGGGAAGAGAGGGGAGGGTCGTCAGGCAACTGGCTTATTGCAGCTCAAGGCATTTTCTTCCGGAAAGATGTCCCACAACTGAGATGCGGCGACAGAGGAAGTAGAAAGATGGAAAACTAAGAGGGGGGGGGGGGAAGCCTTCGGAAGAAATGAAGGCTTTGGATATTCTCGGGCTGCTTCTCCCTTCCCCCTTTATTCTTCCTCCTCTTCTTGCAAGGACCAGAAAGGATGGGCGATCAGGCAAATCTTGCGGTTTGCCGGAGGGCGGATGCTAGAGACCACGCGCCAGAATGTCACTTATCCACGAGGAGCGCGGTGCAAATGCCAGCCGAATGCCGTCCCCCACCCCACCCCGCCTCTCTGAGTCAGCAGTCGCTCTTTTGCCTTGCCTTGCTTGCCTTTGTGCGTGCGCGCGCGTGTACTCTTTTGCGGGGGGGGGCTGGAGTGCGTGCGCGGCCGTGTTCATGTCTCGGAGTAAGGAAGCCTGTCTGTCTGAATGTGCGCGTGCATATTCATGGGAGGTAAAACCCAGTCAGTGAGAAGCGAAGGTACGTTGGAGAGGAGTTAAAATCTGACTGATTTCCATCAACTGAGCATCAGATGTATCCCCTAAGGAGGATGGGTCTGTGCGATAGGGATGGTGCAATTATGTTAAGATTATATTTATGGAGAGGTAGCTTTTTTTTCTTCCTAATTACTGGTTTGGTCAAATTGGTATTGGGAAAACCATATTACAGTTCATAACAAAAAGCATACATAATGCTGCTGGTTTTTTTTTAACTGTTTCATGCCTGAACTATAAGCATTCAAGCTGTGCTACAGAGCAAATGAGAAAGAGTTGTTTGCAAAGGAAGATTTTGTCCTCATTCAAATGTTTCAAGTAATTGAACACCTAAGTAACATAGTGTGGAAACAGGAAGAGGGGCTGCGTAATATAGAAAACCAGCTTCAAGGGAGGGGTAATCATTAAAAATATTTCTCAAGATTTTTTTCTGTATAGCTTGTTTTATAACTTCGTATTCTAATTATTTTTCTCTCTCCTCCCTTCCCCCCAGCTGATCTGCATCTTGAAACAAGGCTAAATGAGTTACAGACACCAGACTCTACTTAAGTGGCCAGCGCCTTTGTGGCATCTCTTTGGTTTTTATTTCTTCTGCCGAGCATCATGGATCTGTTCCTAAAGTAGACATTATTTTTCATTCTTCAGATAAGATTAAAATGCTGAAGGCAAGGGTGAATCTTTTCAGCGCTCTGATTCTGTTATTAAAAATCTTGGACCTGGACAAAAAAAAGATGGGAAGCAAGGGTGTATTTTGTTTTATTTTTATTTTGTATGAAGATTTTTTAAAAAAAGATCAGATGTTGTTCAAGTGACTTGGCACAAAGAATAACAAGTTGTTGAAAGTCACTATAAATTTAGGAGGTGAAAAATACTTGGGTGGATTACATTTTTTTATACTAGATAAAAAATTCTAGTGTATGATAATCTGAGATGATCGATGGGAGTTAAATATATTGCAAACACTTTCTTGTTCCAGAAAGCCTTTTAAGATCAGAATACGTATGTTCAGGGCCCACTATACAAATGCTACTAGAGAAATAAGGCTGAACCATGGATGCTTTATTTAAGCTATGGAAGAAAAGGAAGCAGATTCTAATCTATATGTATTTCCTTTGACTTCTTTGGAATGAAAGCCTTATGCATTAAAAATATAATCTCTGTTGCCTCTATGCAATAGACATATATATTCTTTCCAAAATAATTGAAAGTATATTTTGACAGTATTAAAGCTGCTTGTTACATCTTCCAAATCTACTGAAATAAAATAACTACAAAACCCATTCTGATTAATTGAAGAAGAATTCGACTGGATCTTATCAGACTTTTCCTAGTCCCTGAGACCCTAACTTGTGAGGTTTTTTAGTAACAATCACAAGTCAGGCTCTTGGGACCTAGGCGGAGGGGAACCAGCAACTTTGGACTTTATTGATTAATTTTATCTGCATTGTTTTTTGTTTTGGTTTTTTTGACCAAAGAGAAAATTATATGAAAAGGATGAACATTTTGACTTTTTTAAAAAAGCAGTATGCATAGATATGTTAGCATGTGCTGCATAAATATATATTGTATTTATTGTATTAAAAATGAGTGAAATATTTAGCAGTCTGAATTAGAAACTTCAGATATTTGATACTTTGATTTTAACCAGTATTTTTAATTTATTTGTTAATGTACAGCTTTATTTATAGGTTTTACCTCAGCTTCCTATGTTCTACTTTTTTTCCAACAACTGCTACAAAAAATCCAAAGTTTACAGGCTGAAACAAAGAGTTGTTTACATATCAAAAATGTTCCAAAAATGATATTTTTGATTACAGTTGATCTTTTTTCTTCTTTTATTGTCCTTATCCTAGAGAGTGATTCAGTATGTTGTTATACTTCCTTCCAACCACAATTATACAGTGCACAGAGTATTTATATTAAAGAAATCTGACATAGAATTTGAAAAATTGGAAGAGGCCATTTAGGCCTTAGAAGCCAATCTTGTGGTACAGAAATATAAATGTATGACACAAGATTTATTCTCTGCTTGGACATGTCCAATGCAGAGAACCAATCACAGCTCTGGGCAATTGTTTCTACTGCTCTTACTGTTAGGACATTTTTAGCAGAAATCTGTCTTCCTGGAATATTTTGTGTTCTGCCCTCTGGGATAATACAGCAGGTCTTGGCATCATCTGTCATGACCTCCAAGGTACTCCTTTTATAATTCTTAGAGGAAGAACTTATAAAATCTCACTCTGTTATTTTCAGCACATTTTTCTAACCCATCAAAATTATTTTGAATTTTGTTTTTGTCTTCTAGGATATTAGCTATTCTATCTAATTTTGTGTCAGTTGCAAATTTTTTTTGATTAAAAAAATCCCTTATGTCTCATCTAAGTAATTAATAAAAAGGGGGGTAGTGTGAACCTTGTGGCACCTCACTTGATACTTCTTCCCTGTTTGATGAGAAATTATTAATAAGTAATCTTTGGCTATGATTTTTCAGCCAGCTAGGAATCTATTGATATTTCATGACGTGCAACTGATATAATGCAATTACAACTCATAATGCAACTAATTCAGTCATAACCAAAATTATTCAATTAAATGTTTCTAAATCTATATAGAAGACAAAACCATTTTATCACAAGAAATGAGTAGTTATTATATTTACACTCATCTTAATCTGAGGTAATATTTTTCTAATGGATGCCAATTTTAGCATTCAGCAAAATAAACAAAAGTATAAGAATTATTTGACATTTTTATCTTCATGTCTTCATCACAAGCCACTTGATTTCACAAATAGTTTTCATAATTTTAGTTAAGGAATTTGAAGTTGCCCTGTAAATGCTTTTGCTTAACTATTGTTCCATTTCTGGGAAGGAGGGAGACTATGAGATGAACATAATTGACTATAGCTAATGGAAACTTCCTACTGTGAAAAATCAGATGAATTGTCCTAACAGTGTGGCCTATTATAAGCCAAACAGTAGAATAACTATGTGAACAATAAACCAATGTAAAAAACATTTAGCACTTCAGCATAAGTAAAAATAAGAGAGACAAAGGAGACCCATGAGAAATGTGAATTGAAACACAATGTGACTTTCATTCTTGTGTCCAAATTTGAGACACAAATGCAAAAGACCAGAGTTTACATCATGACAGTGCAATTCACACTTCATAATTATTGCAACCTTGCAATTTGTACTGGATGCTTATGCCGTTAGCTTCATATTATATAACTGATCTTTCACTGCTTCCTACATAATCCTTTCAATTGGAAATGTCAGGGACTGAATCTGAGATTCTATGAAGTATTCCTGAGCTATAAGTAGAACTTTATTCCATTTTGAAAGATTAGTACAGATTTATAATAGTATCTGTTTCAATAACATGATTTCCACTAGACCTGCAGAGCCTGCAGAATTACTGTCACATGGTAATTTTGTCAAGCATCTCACAAAACAGAGCCAACTTATTCCATATTAGCTGCAACCCCATGTAGAACGCACTGCAGTACTCTATATTGCATAGTAATGGGGAGAATCACAACTAGCAAACTAGGCAGAATGGGACAAAGGCTATCTGGCCATGAATTCCATCTGCCCATTCAGTATTAGACTAATAGGAAGACCCTTAATTTGTGGACCTGCTTTCTCCGGACAATGTTCTCTGAAGCCATTGGCCACGAAAGACAAAGAACAGCTCCATCTTGGTAGCATCCAACTTTTGTTTTCTCCCTTCTAGATTAACAGTTTTTAGGCACCAAACTGGATGACAATATATGATTGCATATCACAAATATGTTGATAATGCTGCATTCCAAATTTTCCAAAGGACTTTATGTAAATACTAAACAAGAGGGAAGGAAAGATCAATCCCTTTGGCATCCCATGCAAGACCACTGCTAGGACAATCTGTCAATCTCACCACCACACCTTGATGTGGTGTTACTGGCCAGCAACAACATCCTATGCAAAACAATCACAAGGGGCCGGTGGAATATGCACCTGTTCTCATCTCTCTAAAAGGAAATTCACCTAAACATTGTCACCAGCCAAGAGATTGTGAAATCAGTAAATTAATAATACTTTGCCTCTTTTATTAACTGCATAAGCTGACTGTGTATCCATTTTTAATTAGTCATCTGTAGCCCTCATCCAGTGATGTTCCAGAACTTCAGAAGGTCCAGAAGCATGTCAAATTCACTGAACATTTAGGAACAAACTCACTGAAAGTTCAATTTGCCTCCTAATGCCAAAGACTAACCAGGCAATTTACAGAAATGGCCTGGCAGATCTCTGAATCCAAGAGGCATGTCTTGTGGTGCTCCTGGTGTACCTGAAGGCCTGAGGAAGTACTAGGTGGTAGTCAATCCCAGTTTGACCAAACCTAGGATCCAGCAGCCAGAAGATTTATGAAAGGGTGATGTCACAGCCTTTTGAAAGATGTTAAAGCAAATATTGCCCAATATTTATTCAGATAGAACAAATACTATCCTGAGAGTTGGCAAAATGAAACTTGGATACAAAACAAAGCAAAATAAAGATTAAGTCCTTTATTGACCATTTGTGCCAAATTAATATTTTTTTTCTAAAGTCAAGGTATAGATCAGTGATGGCAAAACTTTTAGAGACCGAGTGCCCAAACTGCAACCCAAAACCCACTTATGCATCATCGGGTGCTGGGTGGGTGTGGCCCATTGGGAGGGTGTGGCTGCGATGGTAACAGCAGACTGGGTAGGACTAAAAAGTTCTATCAATCAATTCCAACTTTGCAAGATCTTTTTTTTTCCACGAGAAAAATCAGTTGACTGATTGAATCTCTTTTTTTGTACACGGCGGCGTAGGCCTAAAGCGAAAAGGTGTTATAAAACCCAGCGATAGTGCACATGCCCACAGAAGGCTCTGAGTGCCGCCTCTGACACCCGTGCCATAGGCTCGCCACCACTGGTATAGATGGACAACTAATTATATAAGTTTGTATTGTACATGCACGTTTCCATGCTAGTTTTCCATCACAATATAATCTTGCATTATACACTACAGTACATGTGCATATACATCATGCTACAGCTAGTATATCTTTTTTAAAAAGTCAACTTCCACAGCACCAACAAAGCAGGAGAGAGAAAATAATGTGTGATGCATACAAAAAAAGAGTCATATTAACAATTCATTGTTGGTAACAGATTGAGCCAGATGCACACATTAATGGCTGGCTGTTGCTGATTTGAGCTGTGTTCACTGTGGTGGAAATGAAAAATCATCTAGTTTCTGACATTGGCTTATTTGTACGCTTTAAAAGTAATAGCATGCTTTTGCATGTATATTTTAAACTGCCTGTATCTTTCTTTCTTCCCATATACCTTTATATCACTTCCTTATTAATTGTCATCCAAGAATGCTATTTCTTAACATGCATGTGTACAAAAGCTAAAAATAATTGTTCTTTTGTCTGCCATGTGGAAAATGATTATACATTATCATGGCAATGATCTGTATCAATTTCAAATGGTCATAGGAGGATAACATCTGTTTTGCCAAATGTCATGTTGATTCTAAGTCAAGGCAATACTTTCTATTTGATATAGAGAATAAAATATGTTTATGCTGTGGGCAAAAGAAGCATTTTTGCTAAAAGCTTTTTATTAACTTCAGTAGCATTAACAATACAGCTTTTCCAAATGTATGCCCTGCAGATGTGGTAAATTTCAATATCTATGATTCTCAGCCACGAATAGTATAAATTCTGTTTTCACTGCAGTAAAACAGCAAAATCAGTAATACTAATTGATATATTATACACAAGTAATACCATCTGACTAATATTAATGAAAATCCAGTCAGTGTTCAACACTTTAAAGTCTATCTTTTTCATTGTGAAAGTCTCTCCACCTAGAATAGCAAAAAAAAAAAAAAAAAAAGCTTTGGCCTGATTGTCATCAGTTGTGTAATAAGTGTAGGAAATTCTGCAATAAATATATATTAACATGTATAGGCAATAACAGCATAGATGAGTTCTACCTGATTTTTACAACCATGTGAAAGTCGCACAGAAAACTACCTTGATCACCACAATCTTTTTTTATATATTTTCATTCATTTGATGACAGAGCAGTGAAAAACATTACATTATTTAGGAGACCCATGGTTGATCGTGTGGAATCAATTTATCTTTATCAGTATTATTTTTTAAAAAAATATAAAGGAACAACAACAAACAAAAAGAAACCTCTTAAATCAGTGGTTCTCAACCTGTGGGTCGGGACCCCATTTGGGGTCGAATGACCATTTCACGGGAGTCGCCAAACAAGACTGTCTGCCATTTTTCCCACCTTTTCTTTGGCCAGGCCCCTGGCACCCGATGATGTATAAGTGGTTGGGGGTCACCACAACATGGGGAACTGTATTATGGGGTCGCGGCATTAGAAAGGTTGAGAACCACTGTCTTAAATGGTTATTAACAACCTACTTGGACAGCCAGTTTAGTGTAGTGGTTAAGGCATCCGGTTAGAAACCAGAAGATTGTGAGTTCTAGTTCATCCTTAGGCAAAAATCCAACTGGATGACCATTGGCCACTCATTTTCTCTCAAGCCCAGAAAGAAGGAAATGGCAAACCACTTCTGAAAAACCTTGCCAAGAAAACCGTAAGCTCTTGTTCAAGCAGTCTCTGAGAATCAAACATGATTGAACAGAAGGAGAGAAAAAAACCCAAGCTATATATAAAGTAAATTAGACAAATTAATTACCACTATAATTGCATTTCAATATTTGAGTTGGAATATCACTTCTCAGTCTTTGAGGTAAGATCAAGTGTAGTGTGTGATATTGGAGTAACAGTAATACAAGTAGTAGTATTTTTTTCAGGAAGAATTCAGGAAGGATATTTAACTTATATGCATTTAATCATGTTATGTCAATGTTTAACATTAATTCTGAAACAGGATTTATTTAATCATAATAAACACATAAATGTGGCATTCAAATCTAAAATATTAATAACAAAACAGTTCAACATAATGAGTACCACTATTAGTTTATTAAAATATTAAAACTACAATAAATGAAGCAATTTCTAGCCTCCCAAATAATAATTGTAGCTAAAACCATAGCAAGTTACAGTTTTCATGTACCAACCTATCTACAATTCAATTGATCATCAAATGCAATCAGTAAATTTAAAAGATGAAGCATTTTATATCTAGCATAATTAATGTGGTTGTTTTAACTTAATATATAGAAGATAGAAATCATGTAAAATTGCTTTTGTTGCTGTGTAGAACACCCATTACTAGAGATTTGCAAGCAAAGGCTGGTCAGCCATTTGTTTAGAATAATATGAGAATTATGCCTTAGATTGGATCAGAAGACCTACAAAGTCGCTTTCAACTTTATGATTCTTTGAACATGAAAAAAACATATATATGTACAGTGTTCATGTGGCATTCCCTTTTAGAACAAACAATGCTATACAAACCATAGAAAAAGAAATGGCAAGCAAACAAAAGAAGAGAAAAAAGAAAAAATAATTTACATAAAAATTATTCACTACATGTCACCATATTTTTCTGTTCTTGTAAACTATCCTTTCTTGCATAATATCCAGTTAATCTGTACATTGCTTTTTATTTCTAACATGATCTTGTTTTTATCACACATGATTATTAAATAACCCTGTCCTTCTTGCTTTAATTTCCTGTGATATATTAAAATCTTACTTTTCTATAAAAATGTGTGAAGAATCATGGTCTTGTAATAATGCATTTTGCTTGCATTGGCATTCATTGCTATGTGAGCTCACACACTACATTTCTCCATCTTTAATTAGTGCACTGATTTATCTTCTTACTTTGGGAATTGTTTGTTTTACCTTTTACGTGTAATATGCATTAGTTCACATTTAATTTCATTTTCCTATCCAATACATGTACTTACATTGATAGAGGAATTTAATAACTTACATAACTTTCTGTAGTATGAAAAAGACCTTCTACCTTTCAGCATTTAATGTGTGTTTTAAGGCAATAAAACAGCTTGCTGTGCAGTTCTGAAGTCAATGAGTAGCATTTGAAAAAAAAATTGAATAAGTTCATACTGTTTAATTAAAACTGCCATCAATTTTCATAAACTGACTTATTTTGTCTTCATTATCATTTTATCTATCTTAGAAATGAAGTGAACTTTATTACAGTGTCACCAGGAATCTGCACTGATAAAATTTTACTGGAGTGAAGCATGAAGTCAACATGCATACAAAATTAATGATAAACTCAATGTTTTTGCGTACTCTGTTGAGTATTACTGCTTCCATTTCCATATGCTTTGAAAAATTGAAGCATCACTTCTAAGATTAAGATCTCAAAATATATTGTTATTATTGTTATTTACTTGTTAATTTCCATTTGCTTAATGAGATCTGCAGGGCTAATCAAAACTCATTATGTCATTTACATATTGCTCTAGTTTTCTTTAATGGAAAATAATGTAGTCTGACCATTTGAACATTTTCTTCCAGGGTGGAGGGGATAGGGTGGAGTAGTTTTTACCTAGGCAGCATTTTGTTGAATTATACTTCAATCTGTTCCTGTTCCCCTCCTCCCTCACATGTAGCCTTTTCAACATCTTCAAAGAACCGAAAGAAAGTAGATTCTTTTATCAATACAGAAAACAAACTGACTGCTCGACTTCCGTGCCAGGATTCACATAAGGCAGCAGGGTGGGAAGTATAACAAAGAAATCCTGAATGCACAAAACATATAAGAAAACCTATTAAAATTCACTGGTGAAGCTTAGAATACACAATGAGAGCAAAGTCTGAAGTAGGATTTAGCAGGACAGAAAAAGAAATATACTTATTTAAGAAAACCATTTCCTTTAAAAAAGTTCAGTTCAGATATTATACTTTACATGACTGCTATATCTTTACTAGCACATTTTCCTCTAAAAATTATAATTAATTAATAAAAACACAGTTAAAAATCGATTTCTCCCTAATTACACAACTGATACTTAATTTATAACTTAATGGATTCTTCTTCAAATTATTGCTGAAAAAACAGTGTCTGATTTATTGCAAGAAGATATTTTTCTCATTCAAACTTTTTCCAGAATTTGAAAATATTTTATGGATGGAAGCGTAAGGATTATTCAGTCTATGTGAGGCATGTTTTATGTGTAACTCCAATTTTCTGTATAACATATTGCAGACAGCTCTTGGATATCTGCTATGGTGATGGTGACTGGTTCTTATTCTGGGAGATTGCCCGGGATCTGATCTCAAGCCATCCAGCCACTTTGGACTGGTATAATGTGCTTCTCTTTCTCCCATCTGTTCTTCCAGTATTGTTCAATTTCTGCTGTTGGTGGGTAAGCTGTTACAGTGTTGTTATACTTCAGTTGGGAATGTACTTTGGATGGTTCTTTGGAAAAGTTCTTGGCTTCTGCTTCTCTAGTGTATTTCCTTAGCCTGGTAGCCAGTTCTGTGAGCCTTTGTTTAGCAGTCTCTAAAGCTTCAGATAGACTTGGGCCTTTGTAGCCAAATCTTATGTTTTAAGTTTCACCA